GATATTTTATTATGTTCACTAGTTTTTCCATATTTTTTTCGTTTTTTTTTTTTTTAAATTGGTTTGAAGTAAAAACATTTTAAACTCCTGAATGGTATTTTAGTTGTGTAATTCGTATACAAAAAAATTACAAAAAAAATAACAAAGAAAAAAATTATGATGCTTTCCACAGCTTTACGTATATGGTTTGAAAAAAATTAAATTATTTTTGAAATTAATATTAGCAAATGCGAAAAATAATAGGAAAAAATATTACTTTTAAAGACAAACGCGGATTACAATAAAACTATGCATAAAATCGCAAATAAAATTCAAAAGTAACTGAAAATCACTAACTCAGTTAATTGTATTTGAATATCGCATATTAGAAATTACTATTAAATTACATTTTATGCATGTTAATTAAAGCTTTAGTTACGATAGTGGTATGTATTGAGCAATGTTTTTTTTTTTGTGAATAAAACAGATGCAAAGACTAATTGATTTTGCCTTTGGATTTACAAGTTTTGAAAGTTGCCGAATTTGTGTTTTCTTTATTTTTCTTTTGTAGATTTAAGTATATTAATTTTCAAAATATTTATGAATATATTAGCTATATGTTTATAGTATTTATGAATGTATGGTATGTAATTATATGACAAAAAATCGAACAGGTAATCGAGTACGTAAATATGTATGTAATTAATTATTTGTAAGGAAAAACATGCGATAAGTTTGTTTTAAATACAACTGCACGTTAAAAGTAAGTAATTTTATGCGGAAGGAAAAGTTGAACTTTTTGGCAAAACTTTTTTTTCTTCCACGAAAATAAATATATTTACATGTTATAATATATTTATAATGAAGGCTGATTTAGCAACTGAGATCGCATCAACATTCATAATTTATTCGTTATTATTTTAGTATTTTTTTTTTAATTTTAATCTTTTTTCTTTTTCTTCTTTGCATTTATCAATATGTATCAATTGACATCCAATTGCTTTCAAGCTGCGAATGTAAACAATTTTATGTTTAGTCAATACAAAAAATACTCTATATAAGTAATAAAAAAAATTATAATAGCATTTAATTTATTTATTTATTACTTTATAGCTAGATTGGAGTAATATTATAAATAATAATGGGAAAAATATACAATTAATATCGACTTTTGCGAACTACTTTCATGAAATCGGAAATAAATTGTGTACATAAAGCTTTTAATTTATCAAAATCGATACTCTTTATTCCACGAAAAATATTTTACAAAAAAGAAAGTATTATGACTTTGCTAAATTTTTTGAAAATATAAACCGTAGATATTCAGTTGAGCTTTTGCTCTCCTTTTTTTCTCATACACATCAGCTTTTGATGATACAAATTGATACCCTTAATTCCATTAAATAAAATACATCTGTATAATTATTTGTATTTAACGTAATTGAAATTGAAATTGAGCGAAAACTAAGCCGCAGATGTGTTATGAGCTTTTTCACGTGCTGTAAAGCTTTCAACACAAGTTCGAAATAGACTTTTGCTCACGGAAAAAAGCTTTTGTAGTTAAAAAACCTTTTTTCAGAAAAAATACAAACTAAACAGCTTTTTTGAAAAATGATTTTTCATCAAAAAATGTTTGGGAAAATGTTGAAATCAGTTAAAATATTTTCCAATTTTTCAAATAGTTTATTTCTCGATTTCATAAATGTTTCCAAGTTTTACACATCCGGCGTTGTTATATAAAAAATTTAAGCGGATGGTTTAGTAAACGTTGAAATGTTTAATATAATTTAATTTAAATTATCGATTTTAGAATGCAATTACATACCTGAAATTTGAAAAAATTATTCCTTGCTTACTATATAGTTTTAAGAATATTTTCCAACCGTTAAAATGTAATTAACACATTGCAACGCACCAACGCCGGATGAGAGTGTCATTATTTTAATTCTTTTTCTTTATTTCTAATCATTTTAATTGTATTAATTTATATACATAAAAATAAATTCTGCACAGTTATTTCGAATATATTTGTATTTTAAATTCCTTGGAAATTACATGTATATGTAGTATGCACTAAAAATATACCGTTGACTACCAGACGCGATTACACGTATATGTATGTATTAAAGTTTCTTACAGCTTCATATACATATATATGTGACTTATATGTATGACAAGTTTATTAAAAATATTTTTTTTTTAATTATTTTTCGGTTGATATCGGTAAAATTTCATGCTATGTTTTTCTAACGGTACGGTTGGTTTCCAGTTTTAGCTGGGCTACCACACTCAGCGCGTTGTATGTTGTATAGTACATAAATGAGTGTGCGGTAACCCAGCCATAGCCATGAGGAGCTCTGGGTCACGCCATTAACTGTGAGAAGAAGCCTTCTTGAGGGCACCTTGTCGGATTGGGTAAAACACATTACAGGGTTTTTCAATGAGACCCTGTATTGTTAGAATTTTTTTTATATTTTTGGTTGATGATGACTATAACAATTTTTTTTTTGGAAATAAATATATGATGTGAAGGTATGCGTTTGGAGCATTTATTTTGTTTTTTTTTTCATTTTTTTGTTGTGGTAAGCAAAGCATTGTTTTAAAGCAAGCATTTTTTTGTGAGTTAATTACTATAAGTGGCTAATTGATGGAATTGAATTTCATTGGCAGAGTTTTAATACAAATTCTATGAAGAAAAAAACCAAGAGATATTATGCCGATAATGATATGTATATGTGGCATGTGGTGTATACTATTTTTTCTCTTTCTCTTTTTTTTTTTTGCTACCTATGACACTACGCACAAAATTTTGAAAAAATCTAGTGTATCTGGTAAAACTATGGATATTATATCATCTCTGAGAGGCTCGACCTGATCAATTTAACCTAGCCTGGCCTGCCAAAGACGTCATTTGTGGTGGTTAACTTTAAGACATTTCTCATTATTTTAATCCTTAGGAAATTAAAAAAAGCTAAAATATTTTGCATTTATTTTATAATCTGAAAATCTTTTAACTGCAAAAATTGCTGCTTCTGATACTAAATCCAAAAACGTGGACGAACAACAGATGAAATTAACGTTGTCAAATCTTTTGCTGGTAAAGCAATATCCGGAGACAATGGGGACAATGAATACTGCTGAGTTATAACCCTCGATATGCAGAATGCATTCAGTAACGCAAATTGGGTACAAATATTAGAGCGCTTCGTTATTTATGCAATCGAGTGCTGCCGTATAATACCAGTGAAGGAATAGTGAAGGTGAAAATTACAACAGGGTTACCCCAGAAGTCCCTACTGGGACCTATCGTATGGAACATCGTCTACGATGAAGTGCAGCTGATATGGGTCCACAAGGAAGTAGCCATCATAGCATACGCTGACGATGTAGAAATTGTCTTGTTTGAAAAAACACTACCTGCAGCTGGCTAAGCTCGCAATGTCAAATATAAAAAGCTGGTTAGACCATCGGCTAAGCTTTCGCAACTACCCAGTTTTGTACCCAGCGCTGGAAATAGAGTCGTACGCCCGTGGCGTTAAGTTCATTTACTGTCCGCACGCACTCCGTATCAGCTCTGCTTTCCGCACTATATCAGAGAGAAAGTGAGAGAGACAGAGAGAAAGAGAGAGAAAGAGGGATATCGACATTGCTGCAAGGATACACATCCAGATAGCTAAATTAAGATGAGAATTACGAAGCGCGGTGGCAGATAAGATGGAATAATAGCACAAAAGGTAGGTGGACCCATCCTTTGATACTAAATCTAACGATATAGCTTGGAGGGAAGCATGGATAAGTTCACTTCCATTTAACGTAACTGGTTATTGGTCATGAATGTTTTAATAACTCTATCCTCTGCTTTTTCATGAAGCGGCATCATAATGCAATGTTTCGTGGTCCAGAATTTATAGAGCATGCCAAGCATGCAATATTCGTCTGCTCGCGCTTTTCGGCATAGCGCCGAAGGCTGAACGAGTCTGTAGGCATCAATTCAATGCTAGAAACTCTAGTTAAATGCTTGTGTGCCACACACACTTGGTTAGTCAAGATACTAAACTGGAGAAGGACAACCTTCAAAGGCTAATAATTTATTACTTTTTTCTTTATTAGATATATAGTAATTTTCGAATTTTTGAATAGCTTATTAACCTACTACCTCTACCTTAAGATTCCTACAAATGTTTTAAGCTATTGAAAAGAAAAAAAAAACAATTACAAGACTTTATGGGTTCCATCTTAGTCCAATTGAAAAAAAATTTATATTGAAATTGCCAAAGAAATTTTTTCTACAAAAGCACACAAATAGTAATTGGCGGAAAATGTAAAGGCGTATTCACTTCATATCCAAATCACTTTAGAATAGCACAGATTGTGGTTTCTAAAAATTAGGTAACTAATTTTGTGGGAATTGAACTAGACTAGCTGTTTTCGGCCGAAATTCGATTTGCGATATTGGAGCATGTGTTTTGTTGTTATTGTTTTTGTCTTCTATCAAGCTGCTGTTAACTAGTTGTTGTTTTGTTTACACTCGCAGATGAAGAGGAACTATATATGCATACATATTAACTAGAAATTTAGTTGTTGAATGATTTTAAGTTTTTTTTATTAATAAGAAATTTTGAAAAATAAAATACTTAATTTTTTTAATATAAATAATTTAATTTTTTGTAATAATTTTTTTATTACTTTTCAAATCTATAAGCAAATATTTGATTCAGTTCTTTGGTTTTTTTTAATTTCAATTTATTTTTTATTTTCAATATTTAATAAACATTTTCTTTATAATAAAATTTTAATAATAAATTATTATCGAATCGAAATCACAACTAAAATATACATATATGTTTGTAATTGTATGCTCAAAGTCATGGAATCTAACTTCAAAACAAAAGCATAGAAATATGTAATGAACTAAAAATATGATTGGAAAATAAACTTAGTTTCGAAAAAAGTAAGAAAGTAAGAAGAAGAAAAAAAAAATAGCTGGAATAAAGGAGAAATCGGTATCCGTCTACAGGTACCTGTTGTAAGACTGATTTCCATAGCCCTCTGACGATGACCCAAGACCTTAAATTGGGGCAGAGATACCTCACTCGAAACACCAACCGAGTTTGGACCTTCATTCCACTTATAACGAATGTCACGCATTGTATAGCCGACTGTTTTATAAAAGTTTTCGTGTTTATGTTTTTTTTTTATGTTTCGTACGGGTAAAGTATGTTCGTAAAGTGTCGTGATGATACAACGTCGCCGTACGTATGAGTGTGTATATGATACGAATGTTTCAACGATCCAATGTTACGTGATTATGAGAGAGAGGCACGCATTTTTATTTATGTTTAGTTTTTTTTATATAAAGCGTATTTTTTTTGAGTTTTTTTTTTGCAATAAAACATTAATGCATGTATTTTTAGCATAATTTTTTTTTAAGTATAATTAGAGCAGACGTAAGTATTTTAATTGATGTAATAAAAATATAATCATCAATTAAAAAATAAAGTTTAAAAATTGTATATATGAAAATGATTTGTTTTTGTTGTTTATTTGGTAATTGTTGACGTTGTTGTAGTAGTCCCATTTTTTTATTAATTTTTTTTTTTTTTTTTTTTTTTTTTTTTTTTTTTTTTTTTTAGTATATATTATGATTGTACGTATCAGTTGTCGTGGTTATTTGGTAAAGATTGAAAAAATATGCATAAACAAAGAATAATTGGTGAGACTTTTAACAAGTTCATAGCTTCTGGTCACTATGTATACAATAAAACAGCACATATTAGTTTTGTTTTATGTATAAAAACCAAGAAATATTAAATAAATATTTTATTTTAACACTAAAAAATTGGTTAAAAGCACCTGCAACTAACTAACGCTATTTTGCTTATATGATTAATTATTTAATTTTTATATATTATATAAATTTATTAATACTTTTGAAGTTAGTGAATACCGAAGCCTTGACTTTATGCACTTATAAAGTTGAATGTTTTTACAAAATTTATATTATATACAAAATCATTCATAAAGACTAAAATTTTGAAGCCATTCAAAAAAAAAAATTAAAGCAAAAGAGGGCAGACAAAAATTTTTTTATATGAATTTTCTAAACTTTTTAACAACACCAAGCAACAGTTTTTGATTTATTTTTTTAAATTTTTTTTATTTGCTTAATTTTTTATTCAAATCCATTAAAATAATAGAAATTAATTTTTAACTGCAAATAATGCTAGAGATAAAAATATAAATAAAAATAAAATTAAAAGTAACCAGTTTTTTTAGTGTGAATTAATCAAGTCATGTTAGACTACTCAGCCAGATTTTAATAAATACATTAAATTAGAGTTAAAATATTAGTAAGTCTAACATTTCATTTGTAATTTTTGCAAATATCATTAAAATTAAAGCCCTTTTTAAACCCGTTGCTTAGCGTAATTAAATAGCTTTTATTTGTACTATACACCCTAATATACTTATATATACTATAATATATAATATTAGTTAGATGGTGGTAAGATAAGAGTAAAAGCATTTTTGTCTAAAGTAATTACTAATTTAATTTATAATATTGCACAATTAAAATAGCAATAATAGCAGTTGGCATGTCAAAAAAAAGTTCTTTTTTTATGATTCTGAGTAAAAATCCTTAGGTAATATTTCTTCAACTTCATGTTATAAAAAAACGCCAAAATCCTAGAAAAAATTCTTTTTTTCTTTCGCTTTTAGTCTGCGATCTATTTATTCAAATTTTATTATTTTTTTTTTTTGGTAGAGGATGAATAAAATGAGCCTAGAAACCCATCGAAATGACATACTCTCAGACTTTTGTGTTTTCCTGCAGCAACTTTGCATGTTCAGCGTGCTCAGTCGGTGGCTGCAACCTGTTTCTAGAGCTTGCTTATTGGTGGTGGGCTTTCTTCTTTATATGAGCTTTATTTCTGGTCTAAAATTTTCGTTTTCCAGTTGGAGCAAATTTTTATAGCACTTGTGATTAAAAATCAAAATAAAGGAAGAATTGGAAAATCGGTTTGGCTTTATTTGTCATGTGAACTATATGATTCAAAAAATGGCTGCTCTGTTGGAAAAATTGTGTGGTTATTAAACCTCAGCGGAATAAACTTGCTCTAACCGATTCGCCTTGATAGATATGTGTATTTCGAAATGTGGACTCTACTCATTGTGATAAGAATTCTGATGAGATGATCCGAATTGCTTCGACATATTTTTTAGCTTAGATATAATATAAAGACGTCTCCAATACTACCGGCAACGAACACCAAGATAAATGAGAAATGTGAGATAGATGTATTCCAGGATGACGTTAATTTGTGTTTGTTCTAAAATTTATGCTTCTTTAAGTTAAAGAACCCAAGGACATTAAAAGACGATGTGTCATATAGAATAATTTTTGCAATTAAGCCTTTCACAGCGAACTGAGTATGAGTGTGGTTAACTACTTCAGCTGAAGATTTAATATTTGGTTTGATTGTTATAAAATAATAACTAAATAATTTGAATGCAATCATTTAAATTTATCTAAACCGTCAGTACTCGTTGCGTCTCCTTCTTGTATAGGCCAATTAAGAAAAACGAGAAATCTAACAGTCCTAATTTTTTCCAATTGAGCTTGCCTGCTAATGATTTATGATTTATTTCAATTGCCTAAGCTGCTATCAAAACTATTTTGTTTTCGTATTTGTCTTGAAAAAATTAGTTTCGTCATGGGCAATTTAAAAAAAGTTCAGATTATAGTTTTTAATTTTTTTTATTCCTTCTCAGCAGGCCTACCCTTTATATGCGATTGGATGTAAGTAAGGTTGGTAATATTTTTCGAAAAAATTCTAAACACACTTATTTCATATTTAATTCATAATCAATATAATTATATTAATAATATTATACTTACACATATTATATACATATATGCGTATAAATAAATGAATAAATAAATATATTATATATATATTATAACGATAAACGCAAATGCTAAAGATTTTACCATCTCTTCTTCTTTTTTTTTTGTACAAATCTTAACTATACATTCGGTATTTATTAGTTGTTGTTTTCTTTAAATATCAGTACTTTACACCTTCCATTGTCGTTATACAAAATATATGCTCATTGTGTTTGTATGTGTGTATGCACGTATGTATATGTACATATGTATATATACAATTATTCATTTAAAAGAATACAATTGCATTGGGTAATTAGGCGGTCGAAAGTATTTAACACAAGAAGAGAACAATTTTATTTATTTTAATTGAGAGCGTTTAAAGAGAGGCGATATAGTTAGGCGATAGGTTATGCATAAAATTTATTGCATTTTTTTGTTTAGTCATTTAACATATACATGTATGTTGCTATTAGTTTGTTATAGTACATATGGATGTGTGTATATGGATGTAGGCAATTTTCAAAATTTTGAAAATTGAGAAATCTCAGAAAATCCAGAAAATTCAGCTGTGTATTGAAAATATACAAGTTTTCTTTTGTGTCTTTGCGTGTCTGCGCCTATAAACCAGTGTGTGTGTGTGTATGTGTATAAGAGTGTGTATTTGTGCACTGAAGGGGAGCAATAGCTTCGTAGGTAAATTTATAAGCAATTTCTTTTTTTTTTGGTGTTGTATACTTTAAATTTTCTATTATCCATATACAATAGTTTTTTTTAATTATTATATTAGATATGAGATATTCTTTTTTTTAAATAGCAGTTGCATAAGTTGTTAATAAATTGGCGAGCAGCACACTACTTGCTTTTTACATTTTTGAATTTAATGCAAATATGTGGTGACTTCTTTTTTGTGTGTGTAAGTATATATACAGTTACACTTTAATATTCAAAAAAAAAAAAAAAAAAAAAAAAAACAGTTGAAGCCTACCCAAGCAAATGCGTATACGTAGTCTGTACATTTCTATTTATTTTCTGATAATTTTTCTTATGTTTTTTTTTTCAGTGGGTTTGTTAAAGAAATCTACAACTCTTTCTTTCTAATCGTTTTCTAAATTCATTTCTGGTCGTTAATGCCCTGCTGCAATTTTTGCGCCTACACTAAACAAAGAAGACAAGAACAAAATGTAAACAAAATTGAAAATAAAACCGAAACAAGTGCAGTACTGACTTGAAATCAATTCTTTAATTTTCCAAATTACACTAAATAAAATTTCCAACAACAATTAATTAACAATTAAAAATAATTTTTTGTTCCTTTTTTTATATAGAGAAAATTATAAAAAAAAAAACAAATATATAAAATTCAATAATGGGACAACACACTTTTATTAAAATTTTGGTTAGTAATAGGAAAATAAATATATGTATATATATAACAAATAAATGACATTAATGAGTTTTTAAAGAATTCATATTTAGAGTAAGAGAGATAGAGAGACAGTAAGAGAGCGAGAGAGAGAGATAGAGTTTATTTGGAGAACAAAGTAAAGAGTGTGAGAGTAGAATTGCATTGCGAGTAAACACAAAAAATGGTGAATGGCAAAATTGTTAATGCGGAATCAGTAGGCGCTGGTATTTAATGGACTCAGGATGCGATCAAAGCTTTGAATTGTTTCATAAACAGATTTATTAACTCCAACATAAATCACAGATTATTTAATTTGTAATTATACACAAAATTTCACTAATTTATGTTGATAAAAAAATTCCCATGAATTCAACCATTAAATCAGTTGTCAAATTAAATTTTATTTTGTTTTTATCTGTAAGGAAAAGCTATCGTTAAAGTAAAACGTTGACAGTTAATGGAAAATTGTTAACAGATAATGTTAAGTTGTTCAGTAATAAAGTTAAATTGTTAACAGATAATGTTAAATCGTTAACAGTTAATGCTAAATCGTTAACGGTTAATGTTAAGTCTTTAACAGATAATGTTAAATTGTGAACAGTTAATGTTAAATCGTTAACATTTAATTTTGAATTGTTAACAGTTTATGTTAAATCCTTAACAGTTTATGCTAATTTCTTAACAGATAAAGTTAAATCGTTAACATATAATGTTAAAAATTGATGTGTGCTGTTAATAGCATGGCAAGCAGTCATTTCAAAATTAACCCTTTCATTCCCATTTCGGTAAGTTTATCATTTATTAACGAAATAATATCGTTTCGTAAGCTCAGCATACCTGGTTGATACCATGTTAAACAAGTC